CATAGGCTACTGTAAATATGATGTTTTTCGTCTGATTTATTCAGAGGCTCAATTCTGGAGGAGGACCATGTGTTCAGCGTCCCCAAGGCTGTCGGCCGCTGGAACATAAAATACTATCGTGGAACAATTTGAACGTTACACTTTTATAGAACGACAATAATAGTTGTGTGGTGTCTGGAATAAATCCGGTATGAAAGCTCAGCAATGAAACAATCAGATCCAACGAGGCATCGATATTGTGAGGTACAAACGCACGAGTTGTATGTATTAAGCGACAAGCAAATAGCATGACGTGTCTTCAGAGTCCCTTTCACAACAGCCACTATACACAGAATGTTCAAATTTAAAATTAGGAAACCTGAGTGTGTCTCACACCGAGAAGATACTTATGACAATGGAAACTGCACAACTGACGAACAGATGACGACGTTCTGGGTTCAAATCCCGGCTCGGAGACTGGCTATTGTGATATTTTCGTGGTTTTACTCAGTCCGTACAGGAAAATTCCAAGATAATGGCGTTTCATTACAAATTCCAATTCCTTGATCAATAATCATCATAAGTTGTTGATATCGTCATTAAACATAACAAAAACTTATGTGCATTGGGTGTTCGGGCAGATAGCATACCTAATAGAAGGTGGTAGATTAGCCGGAAGAGAAAAACCCAAGTACATACAAAATCTGCCTAAAAAAACAGCAAAAGTCTACAGCAAATCCATTAAAAAGTGCCGAGCGCACGACGAGAAGCCACCTTTTCATTGCCTGAAGAAGACCAGTAATTAATTCCACGGACCAGTCCTTGAGAATCTAACAATTGCTCAGCTAGTCAAGAAATTCGGTGTATCTTATGTAACCAGAATGTTCATCACCGAGTTCACAACAGCCCGCCACCGGAAAATATTAAGAGCCAGAAGAATTCAGTTAGTGCTCCTATACCTTATTCATGTAACATCCATTTTAATATTATCCTCGCATCTACGCCTACGCCAAGAGATCTCTTCACGCATTTCGACAAAAATTGTGTACGCATTTCTCGTCTCCGCCCATGTCGTCTGCTGTTGTGTCAAACATCCTAAAAAGAGTACAAATTATGAAGCTCCTCATTCTGTAATTTTCTCTAGCCACTTATTTTCTCCCTCATGGAGACAAACCAGCAACGGAATATTGGCGCAAAACTAGTATCAGTACTCATGCTAGGACAAGGGACCGCAGATACGGGTCGTATAAAGTCCGTAACACCACAATGGGGAGTCTGAATGGCTATCAAATGTCGGGTCATCACGCTAGCATCGGCTGGAAATCCGTACGCTTTGCGTGGCTAACTCACTTCATATGCCGATAAGAACAGACAAGGACACAGACACAGGACATCAAACAAAACCTCGACGTAATCCTGCAACACAAACAAAGGCCAGTCACATCGCGCTCGACAGTTCGTCGTACACTCACTTTCTTGTCAAACGCAGGAATTTCTCCTCCCCAGTCAGTTCATATTTACGAGTTTGTAAGGGCAAGCATTCGACGGTATCCATCCGTATAAAACAACGTGGTATTACAACCCTTCTGTTATTGTCTACGAGCCAAAACTTCACGGTTTCAGGACTGTGGTACCTCTTGGGTTACGACAGCATGTTCTGCCTCCATAATCAGGGTAGAGTATAGAATGGACATGTTCCGCCATTGCGTTGGTAACCAGCTACAAGGCTACACGAGTCACAAACCATTTGATCACAACCCTTATTTTAACCGCCGTTAAAATGTAAATCTCAACGTATCGATTATTTGTCAGCATATTTAACGACGCTTTCCCAGTTATCAAGACGTCCCCCTGATCATTTTCTCAATTTGACGCCATGACATAAAGCAGAGTGAAATTTGTTACAAAAAAATCAATAATTTGCAATATAATAATTGTATTTTAAAACTATTTTATATTGAGACGTAATTCTGAAAGCATGAATGGAATAAACAGTTGGTAGGACTGTGGACAGGGATTAGACTTGTTATAAGGCCTTTTCCTACACAGGACAGAAAATGCGGACACACATCTATGAATCGACAGGGATCCCAGTCTTACAGTGGCCCAAAATCATACGAGGACACACATCTATGAATCGACAGGGATTCGAACCCAAGATCCGAGTCTTACAGTGGCCCAAAATCATACGCAAACTAAACCATGCGGTTATTTATATTGCGCCAATTATTTATTTTCTTCAAAATGTAAAATAAATAATTTAGTATTTGTTTTAACAAAATCGAAAAGGAATATGTCAAACAAAATTATAATACTTTGTTGTTTTTTCTGTGGTCCGAAGGTGGAATTGGGCGGGGTGTGTGACCACCTCGCACTTAATATAAGAAATATCTGAATTGAATTGTAAGTGTTAACTGGATACGACAGTACCAACGGAAACTTGTGAAACATTAATAACACTAAAACAGTTCGTCGGTGTTATGTATTTGGTTGCGTCAGATGATAACATTTCATGCAGCCTGTGTTATAGGCTGCCCGATGCACAGCGAATACAAGCGACTTAATTATTTATCTCAGGGGCTTGTGACGTAGCATCGTTCCTCGGATATTTCAATCAGTGTGTTTGTGCGTGCATGCGTGCTCGCGTGTCTCCCCTTGTGTTTGATATTTTTTTGCCGTCTATTTAACCACGCTTTGAACTCCTTGAATTATACAACATCGAATTATCTCTGAATTGGAAAGGATAAGAACGTAATAATCGTGGGGTAATTTGGGGAATTTTCCATGTATTTGTTCCGTAGGGACTAAGAAAGACCACGAAAGGCCTCAGTCAGGATAGCACCCCGCGTAAAGATTTGAGCTCGAAACCATGCTAACCATTCGTCCATGACGTTTGGTCATTTGCTAATGAACGGTGAAGACTTATGTAATAATTAAGATACATTTTATTGTGTGCCCTACGATGTTCCAAACTGGTACAGACAGAAGCGGAACTGAGAAAGGGGTAGATAAAAAGAAGGGTGGATTGGGAAAAGAAGAAACAAATAAAGAAAGAAGGAAGAAGAAACATTGAGAAGAAGAAAAAACAGGCGTACCTCGTTTTATTGCGCTTCGCAGATATTGCGTTTTTTTTAAAAATTGAAGGTTTGTGGCAACCCTGCGTCGAGCAAGTCTATCGGCGCCATTTTTCCAACAGCATGTGCTCACTTCGTGTCTCTGTGTCACATTTTGGTAATTCTCACAATGTTCTCGCATTATTTTTGAAACATAACGCTATTGAACACTTAATAGACTACAGTATAGTGTAAACATAACTTTTATATGCACTGGGAAACAAACAAAAAATTCATGTGACTCGCTTTATTGCGGTGGACTGGAACCGAACCCGCAATATCTCCGAGGTTTGCCTGTACTATGTTTCTCGGTATGCCAGGACACGTCTGACATTATTAATACTTGAGAGCAAATGGAAACATATTTGAAAGAGAAAATACACTAGACGCCGGTGTCACAAGGACGAACTCTCCTGCGATGAGTTGGAACGTACCACTCAGTTAAAAATTGTGTGCTAGATCCATTTGTGTGACCGTCAAGCCTTAAATGTTAGAAGGCTGAGAAGGGGATGTAGCTAATATAATAATGACTCTGGCAAGCAGCAGCCATGAACCGGTGAACGCCAATCACAGTTTCATGAAATAAATTAAGAGACTTGACTAATTATTTATAATGTGCGTATTTATTCCACATGCCACACACCTTCCTCTTTTCCTCGACATAACCTCCCCTCTACGAATGTTCCAGAACTACGCCCAGAGTCTAGTGAAAGTTACTGGAGAATCAACTTCAGAAGTGACCACCTAAAAGCCTTCCGCTAAAATGTGCTCTTAGAAAAAAAAATCACTGTATAATAAATACTCCCCTTGCTCAGAATGTGTACATCAGATTCGTTGGTTGTTTCCACAGAAATAAAGTGATGTGGCTAGAGGAGCAGAAGTGGCCACTGAACGCTTGAAGTATGTGAGTCGCTGCTGATAACACTAACCGCGTCGCGAAGCCATGGTAACGAGGCTGGATGGAAGTTATCTGCTGACCGTGGGCACAAGGATACTGGAAATGGACCAGAAGAGGAGGCACAATCCATGGGCGGACAGAAATATCATCACTGCTGTTACCGTTCATTTAACGCAAACAAAAGTGTGTTGCCGGGAAGCGTATGACACTACACTGCTGTATCAAGTCATAAAGATGATTTTTGTATCTTGTTAAACACATACCGCATTAAAAATGTTTCAAGTAGAATTTGTTGCGTCTTGTTTATTTAACGATGCTACCAGTGGCTCAAACTAGGAATGTTTCATGAATTGGAAATGACACGTAAGGAGAGAATCGTTGTCTAAATCAACTTACTAACCCAGCGTTTGCCTGGAGGGACTCCGGTAGAACTACGAAAATCCTCAAACAGTACAGCCGGTCTGTGAGTCGAGATTTGAAATTATGATCCCTCCAACAGGATGCAGCAGCACCAACCACTTGGCTGCGACTTCCAGTTTTGGATCTCAAAAATACGTATTCTAAACCATGTCACATTCATTTATTATAAACAGCTTACTTTAGGAAAATTCTACTAAAATACGGGAGATTTCAGGTTCCTACGGTGACGAGTATGAAACATGAGACGACTTGCCTCCATCATCAGGGTTACAGTGATGGAGGCAGAAAGCACTTCTGAAACGTAGGCAAACTTGTACAAAACCACGTGTCGCAACACCACAGAAGACATCCACCTTAACAGTACAGTTTGTTTTTAACGTTATGGGAAGTTAACGAAAGACTCAACACTAAACTTCATCAGAGTCTGTTGAGTGTTTCCAGAGGTGGCGCGTATGGATGAGCAAACATATCTGTACGACCTCCCCACGACATATGACGAAATGGATTTTGCGAAACATGTAGCACGTAGGAGCGATGTTTTCTTCTCCGACCTTACCCCAACCGCTTCCTGTACCCTGACTTTGATCCTGCCAAGCCTTTCTGAGTAATCACAGTTACTGATGATTCAGTGGCTGGTCGTCGCGTCTCTCAACAACTGCTGTGCGTTTAGTGGACTCTACCAGGCAAGGAACAGCTGCAGTTAAAACAACTCAAAGGTTTGGAGAATTTATTTTGAACACACCGTGCCCTACATATCTATTTCAAGACAACTGTTCTTGTGTGAAGTCATATAATACGACTTAATATCCAACAAATGTTAAAGAGAACACGAGATACGAGGTAGCGGAAGGTGAAATTGTCTGTTACAGTAACACGACTGTAAAGAATCATTTAAATTAATAATACATAACAATATATACTATATGTCAGAGACGGCTCTTTGCTACGCAGATTAAAACAAATATGTTGATGATATGTAGAGACACGAGGCACGTTTGTTAATTGAAGCTAGACTGTTTCGTGTTAAAAGTGTTTTCATGGTTTCTGTGCGGATATGCAGTGAAAAACTAGCGTGTGTTTTAACCGTTCAAAGTCCAATGGTAACTTTTTGTACCATCTGCATAAACAATGAGGAACTCTCCATTCTTTATTCATGGGTTTATTATGATTCTCAGTTTGACAGGGATTGTTCCCTTACACAAGATCAACCGATTGATACACATGACGGTGAAATGTATTTTTTAAAGGGGTGCGTTGTTAACTAACTAGATGGCTTACGGAACTCGAAGGTTCATCACCGAATTAACCAAAGACCTCCCCCGGACCCTGACCTGGGCCAACAAAATCCAGTCTCCTTCAACTCCTATCTCCAATAGATCCCGCCTGACATTATCCTCCCATCTACATCTAGGTCTCCCCAGCGGTCTCTTCCCCTCAGGCTTCCCAACTAATACCCGGTGCACACCTCTTGTCCCATCCATGCGTGCTACATGCCCCGCCAATCTCATTCTTCTTGCGTTGTTAAATAATAGAACAAAAATACTGAACTAGGTAAATAGCACTGGTAGTGAAGATTAATCAATATCATTCGAGTAGCGTGACTGTGATTTTAACCTCTGGAGTAGACACACGATTAGTTAGGAACCCATGGGAGGTTTTCGTTTATGTCTCAAGTTCGATGTCAGGACAGGCTACATACAACTATCTACGAAGTAGATCAAGAGTATCCCTTCTTGAGAAGCTGATAGTGACTCAACTAGTCAAATATATTGCGATGGTTCATTACCGTGTTCAAAAGAGCCCGCCAGTGGTCCCTGAACCATCCACAGCTCACACCCTCATTTTATATTATTCTCCTATATTAGCATATTTTGATTATTTTACAGGATGGCCGAGGGACATGTCTGGCTGCTGTTTCTGCTGTGTGGCTTTCACACACCCCTGGAATCTGTCGGTGTACAACTTGTGGGGATCCCCTCGGAAACTCAACTGACTGAGGCCCTTATCAATTCCGAGCGGCATCACACAAGCAATGTTTCGTCTACCCTGACGGTTTGCGATAATTCTGAAGGATTAATTGTTGGCAGTGATGATTTAAAGCCACTTGATGTTTTTAACTCGACGGTGTGTGGCACGGTCAATCTTAACAAGATCGTGGATGAACTTCTTGACGGTCTCCGCGTAGACATCATAAAGCAGGGAAAGGACCGAATCAAAATCCCAGACATAGACGAAACATTCAACAAAAGAGTGTACTTCATTAAAGTTAAAGGTGAGTTCAAAGGTGAAAACGGCTGGGTGGAAAGTCTCTCCACCATCCACAGAACAGCTGATGCAGTAGCTTCGTCTTACGGCAAGAACCTCTCAGTTTCATGTGGCTTTGGACTCGAACATCTGGAAGTGGGTTATGACAGGTACAGAGCGAAATTCATGAGACTCGGACCGCATGGAAAGATAAATGGAATTGTTGGCAAGAATTCTATACTTTTGAAAGCGACTGTAGCCTGGACTAATCAAAATTGCACTGTAGCTTTAAATCAGCTGGTTTTAGACAGTTTCGGAGATTTTAAGTTGAAAGTCACCGGTTTGGGGCCCATGAACTGGTTGCTTTCCAAAATCTCAACTTGGATTTTGCAACATTTCGAATCAGAAATTAAAGGCAGAGTAGAATCCACGCTGAGAGAAGAAATAGAGAAGAAACTGGACCATTTTGACTGCAGTAAATACTTCCCTAAACCCTAATGTTAGATGATTACAAAGTGAATTAGTACATACCATTAGATCTTAAAGCGGGACGAGGCGTGAACTGAAATTTGCAGTTTACGTCTTTTCAAAATAAGTTAATTACAACTTTATATTCTGACAAAGGTCGGTGGTTACCTACATGATGTCAAGTTGTGGCTAATAGAATGGCGGTTTCGCTATGATTCTAGCCTCGTGACCAATCGATTTGGTTGAGATATACATATAAATTTTATATTAATGTTTCCAATTTAAAGAAATTATAACTCTGATATTAATAAATATGCTGATATGATACGAAACACAACGTATTGGAGCGAACTTCATGTTTGTTTTTACAATTTGCAGTTTTACAAGTGCTCAATATGAATATGGCTCCCGCGAGTTAATGTCAAAGTTATGATTCCTTTAAACAGGAACCTAATTGTGACCCACTCTTAATTACTAATGTAAATCTTACAACTTTACAATTAAAATTTGTATTCTCTTTCGTAGCATCGTTATTCATTTATTTACTTTGATATAACCATTTTATAATTTCCAGTGTTTTAAATTATTACGTCATACCAGATAAAGCACGACGTTTTTCGGTCTGTCTGTAGTGCAGCACGTGACTTCCCAGGCCACTACGATACAGTGACTTCCATTAAGTCTCGCATAGAGTACTAAATCACATTTACTTTCAACTTTTCAACACAACTTGCGTAAAAATGCATAGTTGTCACCATTAGCAATGCCTGTTAAAATTCAAAGTGAAATCCAAAATAGGTGATAGGCCTATATCTATTTTACGATGCACAGTTAAATGGCCTTTAGTTTTTTGAAATAAAATCTTTATAAATTTGGGAATAGTGATTATTCTTTGCTTTGACACGCGAAGTGTTCTGCACATATTTCTGCCCAGCTTTCCAACAGAAAAAAGTAATTGTCGAGGAATATATTTTTTTATTTTGAATACATATCACTTTTTTGAGATTCTGTACCACGCATTTGGTTACGTCAGATGTGCGGATGATACGCTGGTTTTAGCAAGTACCAAAGAGGGGCTCCAGTTACTAATGAATCGTATAGTGCAAACACGTGATGAATTCGGCTTGAAACTGAATATTAACAAAAGTAAGTATATGATTATCAGCAACGAGAGAGCAGTTCAAGATTATGAAGTTTAAGTCAATGGAACAGCTCTGGAGAGAGTCGTAAAAGCAAAATATCTAGTATGTGACATTTATGAAATGTGGGATCTTTCCGCATTGAACCTAGCTCGGGCAACATTTATACGAATGAAAAAAGTACTCTCTAGTAACGACTTAAACTTGTGGCCCCGAAATTATATCCTGCGATATTATGTATTCCCAGTTCTATTGTACGGAACGGAGGTTTGGACCGTTACTGAGGCGATACTTAAACGTCTTGAGGCATTCGAGATGCGAGTATATCGGCGTTTACTCAAAATTTGCTGGACTGATATAATAAGTAACGAAGAAATACTTATGAAAATTAATAAAAGAAAAGAAATCGTCAAAACCACCAAACGACAGAAGTTGGAGTATTTTGATCATATATGCGACATCCAGAAAAATACAAAATTTTACATCTTATTATGCAAGGAAAAATCGCGGACAAACGAAGCCCCGGGAGAATAAAAATGTCCTGGATGAAGAATTTAAGGCAATGTTTTGGACTGTCCAAAGTACAACTTTTCCGTGCAGCTGTAAATAAAATCATAATCACCAACATGGCGGCCGATATGATAGCCAACGCTCGATAACGGTCAAGGCGCCAGGAGAAGGAGAAGAAGAAGAAGATGATTTGGTTATGTTTGTTTAATTTAAATTTGATTTTCAGGATGTGCGTTAAGGTATACACACTTTGCCATTTTAATCTGTGCAAACAAACGTTTCAAATTTACTAAGGGAACATTTCATTTCAAGGTCTTCGACGGAAACATAATCCTTGTATAAACTATCTCAAGCAAGGATCCACTTAAAATCGACACTTTCTGTCACTGTTAAGTTACCAAATCGTGTGTTTACATATGGGGTGTCATGAAGACGGGAGATAGAGGAATTAGTTCTCTGTTCGTGATAAAATTTCTCTCAGAAGATAAAAAAGAGAAGGACTACAGTTACACGAAAACCTGCGTGTTGCCAGGTTACCAGAACAGTGAGTGTCTCTCAGGGGCCACAGCCACCACTTCTTCTACTTCGAGGGTAATTATTATTATTATTATTATTATTATTATTAATTAATTAATTAATTATGTAACGACGCTGTCCATAGCTCAGACTATGTGGTAGAGAATTAAAGAATGATTAATAAATAATCAAACAGGAAGGTTTATGTTATAATTTAAGGTACGGGCGGGTCATGTAGCATGCATGGGGTAATAAAAAATGCAAACAACATTTTAATCGAAAAATCTGAATGGAGAAAACCAATGCAGTGGCCCAGGTTATAAATGGGGCGATAATATTAAAATAGAACTTAAGGGAGCAAAGTGGAAGTGTTTGGATTTGATTTATCAGACTCGGGATAGAGATTGGTCGTGGGCTGGTGTGGATATTGTTGATTAGATGAGGGAATATCGGCATCTCGAAGAGGATTCTAGTCAATAAAGTTGGTATCAGTTATTAAGCATTGCCACGTATTACAAAACATCGAAACACTGGACGCTGTAACTTCTGTCATAATACATTAATTTCTTGTTCTAATTTAAAACAAAAACCCCGTAAACATTAAGAGAATGTTATATGTTTCAATTACTTTTGTCTTGTAACGAGTGGGCTGCGCTTTCTATTTGGAAGGACTCTGTCAGTATAGGTAGCACATCTTGTGGTAAAAATGTTGGGTAAACACAGATTTCATTTTGGATTTTGTAAGTAAGATCATATACGAAAGATCTGTAGAAGTAAGTGAACGGGGTACAACTTATTAAAACATGTTGACTTACCACTCATTATTTTTTGACAATTATTTCCATAAAGTTACCATGGGTTAGACAGCCTGAAACGAGAGGCACAAGACAAGAACACAGAATTCTGATTGTGAAATTCGGAGATGGAAATGGGAAGATTTTTGAAGTATCACCTAAATTGATAAAAGGGAAACACGTTGTGGTAACGCATATTGCACTGAAATGACTAAACTCCGTAAGTTTAGTGATAACTGTATATACCAACCTGATTTTACGTTCAGTAACACTGTGTTTTGGCCACGTTGTGTATTTATGGGTTTTATGTGATTCTCAGAGTAAGCAATGATTACTTTTTAAAACAGCGTTAACCATTTAATCTTTGTTTTTACCGTGTTCACAAGTGCCCCACCAATGGCCCCTATCCTGAGAAAGATTATGTATTTATTAAAGATCCATTTTAATATTATCCTCCCGGCTACACTTTGATTTACCATGTGGTCTCTTCACTTCAAGTTTTCTGACCAAAATATTCTGGTACAGAATCAGCTAAAAGTAAAGACGAGGCAAAAATTCTGAGCTCCTGGACACCCAACAGAGAATCACGTCAAAGAGTCATGACTTTAGAGTTATTTATATACGCTCTCCCTGATAATGTAGTTGTGTTCTGTTATCAATATAGGTCAAGTCGTAACAACCCGACGACGATGGCACTTGTGCAAGTCTGCCTGGCTCTTCTGATTATGGCCTGGTGCTCCACAGTACGAGCATCACCTCCACACGTTAATTCGAAAGGAGACGCAGAAAATTCAACTGCAGCTGAAGTCGAACATCTGGGCAATGTGACGGAGATACAGACGCATCCTCAGGAGTACGGGGCAGATGACAGAAACACTAGTTTGAATGAGACGAAGGGGCCTGACCGTACACTAATTCCGTTGGAGGACATTACTACTAGCGTTGATCAGAATACGTTAGCCCACATCTTTAACATTCAGCTATCGATTCCACTTGATATAGATATCGGTATTATCAATCCTGATTTCTCACGAATGATTCTCAATGTAGATTCAAATATAGGATCCATGGAAATTGAAGGTGACTACTCACTGCTTACCAAAAACCTTGCCATGATTTCGCTTATTAGCCAAGGACACTTCTACGTCAGTTTACATAACGTTACATTAACGGGAAAAATAGCCCTAGCATTAACACCCGCTGCTCTCCTACCTTTAGACTCTAATTTTGTCTACAAGCCGCAAGAAGTAACTGCCCGAGTTATTCCGATGACTGAAATTACTTTACCACAAGACGTGAATCTATCAAAGGACATTGTAGGGGGAGTACTGGCCGAAACCATCAACAACAAGATCCGAGATCAACTCAACTACTATGTGGATACGCAGATAAATCTAGCTTTAAGTAAGATAAGTGTTTTTACTGTAGGGCACAAGAATGTTAAGCCAGTCGCTGAAGAACACTTGACACAAAATGTGAAGATCAGTGATTTGTTCGATGAATTGCTGGCAGACGTAAAGGAAGGTATTCTGGAAAATCAGGAGGATGATATAGACATACCCAGTTTCCATAGGAATTTCTCCGAAAAATTAGAAACAAGCATTGTCAATGGTACGTTCACGGCGGAGCGAGGCTGGCTTTCAGGGCTCTCGACAATCAAAAGATCCTCAAACGTGAGCTTGTCCAAATCTGGCGAAGAGTTCATTTTGTCAGCAATGATAGAATTTGACGATCTACAAATGGGGTACGACAAATATGTCGCAATGTTTCTCAAATCGAAAGTAACAGGGGAGTTACACGGTAATTTCATGCACAGACAACTGACAATGAAGGTGGCAATGGATCCGAAAGAAGATGGGACATGCGTATCAACACTGAATGAACTGAGAAACTTCAAGGTCAATGCTTATAGGATTAAGAAAATTACAAACATAGGATCTTTTGACTGGCTACAAACACGAATAAATAATTGGCTGATAGGGTACTTTCAGACTAAAATAGTTAAGGAAGTTGAAAATATGATGAGCACTGCTGTACGTAGTTCTTTAAGTCGGTTTGACTGTGGCGAATATCTTCCCAGTCTCAAAATCTTGGCATAATTAAAATAGTGGATGAGAAAGTCCTCTTAGACCCGTACAGCCTTGTAGTGGAAGAATTAAGATAATGTGAGTAGATAATTTTGTTTTATTGATGATGATAGTGATCCACTTAGAGTAGACTACACATGAAACCTCAAATCGTCTTTGAAAGCCTAAATATTTGCTTCTTGTGTGTTGTAACTTTCGTGCCTTAACACGAAAATATGTAGCAATTTAAAGAGGTTGTCAGTCACAAGTATTTCTGTGAAGGAAGAGAAGATACAAAATATATTTCTCATGGTATCTACATTTAATTTGTTTCATGGGCGGAAATTATTTCAAAATGCTCATCAAGGTGTACATTTTCATTCATGAATAGATAAATAATTTAATAACAAAATTATGGTTTCGTATCTCCTTCACCACAGGTTCTGAAAATAAGTTATTGTTGCCCATTTGTTAAACAAACAAAATCCCTTGCTGATTCACTCTCATTTTGGCTTACCAGTGTCAAAATGGTTGTTACTACCAACTGCTAATGGATCACAAAACGTTTCAGGCAGTGAAAATAGTCTTTTGAGGCAGATCGGAAAACTTGTGTGACTTAGTGGACAAACCAAGCGTCTGCTGTACAACCCTGATTCAACCAAAGCAAGAGACTACAGAAAATTGGTCCCGCCATGGGGACCATTTTTTATTATGTTCATTTGCTTTGAAGAATCCGAGATAAATATTGACAGAAGTTCTTACAAACAGCCTCTTCTATAATGTACTTATATTCAAAATGTTTTACTTAAAATAAAAATAAGCTTAAAATAAAAACAAGCTCATTTCCAGCCTATGAGTTAATATAATTTCCAAGTCCACCGACGAACTTCACCTTCGCGTTCCTGACAGCAGTGGTTCTATGTTCGGCCCTGGCGTAGATCATCACATCTGATTGTCATTCGTGACTATCCGCAAGTTCTTCCAGGAAAATGGTCAAAGAGTATTTTAAAGTAAAGCAAGCCACGACCAATCCTTTCACATACTTTTCGATAAATAATTTACAATCACCATTCCATACGATGACGTAGGCTGCAACCTTTACAGTTGAAAATCGTCGTTAAATTATGAAATGAACAATCTTTTACAAGTTGCTATCTCTAACTAAATTATTGAGAATTTTACAGCTGCTCAGATTGTCAAGAAATTTCCGCCTTACATAGAATCCGAAAATTCATCATCGTGTTTACAGAGGCCTCCACCAATCTCTGTCCTGAGCCAGATCAATGCAATGAACGATCTCTTTTAAAAAATCTAGATGTTTTGATCGCCTCCATGCGTGCTACGTGACGCATTTATTTCATTCTACTTGAGTCCATCTCCGTAATATTAGGTGAAGAGTACAAATTATAATGTACCATGCTGTGTATTTTTCTCCAACCTTAGATGGGAGGATAATGTCAGGCGGGATCTATGGGAGATAGGAGTTGAAGGAGACTGGATTTTGTTGGCCCAGGACAGGGCCCGGTGGAGGGCTTTGGTTAATTCGGTGATGAAACTTTGGGTTACGTAAGACATATAGTTACATATAAAAATACGCTACCACCGGTCCTAAGTAACTGAACTTCGGCACGTTTACAAATTATTTGTTTCCAAAATCAAAGGTCTTATACACACACCATGCTTCTGAAAATAAAAGGAAATAAGGAAACGCTTAATATGCAAGCTCTTGATTCCTACAAATCCTTTCCAAGGCATAATCAGTATAAGCAATTAATTCTCAAGTGATATAAAATAATGACCAAATGCTATTGGAGTTTAGGTCCATAACTGGTCATTGAACCGCTTCGGTTAAATTCACATCCAATGCTTCTATCATGAAATAATCCCGTGTAGCATGTAACCTGGAATCTCTCATAATACAGGCATACCTCGGAGATAATGTGGGTTCGGTTCCAGATCACCGCAATAAAGCGAGTCACACGATTTTTTTTTGTTTCCCAGTGCATATAAAAGTTATGTTTACACTGTACTGTAGTCTATTAAGTGTGCAATAGCATTATGACTAAAAAACAATGCGAGAATTACCAAAATGTGACACAGAGACACGAAGTGAGCACATGCTGTTGGAAAAATGGCGCCGATAGACTTGCTCGACGCAGGGTTGCCACAAACCTTCAATTTGAAAAAAAACTCAGCAATATCTGCGAGGCGCAATAAAACGAGGTATGCATGTACTTAATTTATTCTCGGGCTACCAGCCGTGTGACGTGGTTCCCTGTACCCTGAGGAAGATGACGTAGATGGTTCTCGAAACGCTGGTGTCTTCGCCATTCATAACGAATCATTATAATTTGTCGCCGTGAAAGTTTAAGATCATACATCTCAAAATAAAACTTACGATTTCCCGCAAGACGTTCTCTTTATTATAAAGAAGGTGGGGCCAGAATATTAGGATGGCATTCATAATGTCAACACTAACACGTCCTTGATCTCACCACCTCTAATCTCAACTGAGGTGTGCTGTGTGTGCACGATATTCGCAACATGACTTCGGATCCCAGGGTCTCACTATCTTAAAGTACACAGCAAACTTCTCGTAGGCCAGCAGTATCGAATAATAAAATTCGTTGATATCGATTACAGGTTCCATGACAAAAAGCCCACACGAAAATTCCGCACAGAAAAAACCCTGTAGTCATAAATGCTCACCAGATTACATATGAACTAATACAACAGCCCCACTAAAATTGAACAGCGAGTTACTCTTTAGCTCCATTTATTGTTCATCTTTTCTTTCTTTATCCATTTCGCACCTTTATCTCCTTTCGACCCTACTACCGTAATTCTTTCCTATCCTCCTCAACTTCAATTATCAACTACAAATATCAACCGTGCTACGTACTACGTTCTTTCACGTTACCCCATTGGAATTACCTTAAAATGTTGCGTGATCAACACTCGAGAATTAGAACAATTTGCCGTTTAGGTTCATTACGGACACTTTTAGGCCTTTTTTGAGCTCTAAGAAGCACTCATCAAAGCAAGCAAACATAAAACTGAATTTTATTACAGGCAACTGATAACCTACTAAATGTGTCGGAACAAGAATGAAAAGGCAATTCAAGTCTAACTGTTTGTGTTTATTTAAGACTAGAGATTCTCAATACATCGTGACTTGTAGACGTTTACCGACGTTTCAGATACCCTTGCTGCCTACACCAGGTCGATGAGGGCGATGATCGCCCTGATGATGGAGGCAGCAAGGGTATCTGAAACGTCGGTAAACGTCTACCAGACTACACGGCGCAACAACCCAGAAGTCAACCATCTTCGCACTCTCAGACGCGAAAACCTGAAATTCGCATATTTCATTCCCATGTTTCGAAACTATAGTACATGGCATTAATTATAGTTGATAAATATCACGCAGAAAAATCATGGTCCGTCCAGACACTCAACAATTTTCATGTGGTAGGGAGAAGAAAACGGTTTGGGAACAGCTGTTGGAAATGGTTCACCTGAACATTTCGGTGTAGTGATTATGTGTCGAGCTTCTGAGAACATCGCAACCAACACTTGAACGGAGCACAGGACACGCCTAATATTCTGCCCAATCTACGCTTCTATTACGTAACTCACCATACATAAGACTTGAATGATAATGGCATAAGAATGTATTGATAACAGCAGCGCGGATAACCTTATTAAAATGAATAAAAAAAAGGCTCGCTGTGATAAAAGCTCATTGCTACCACAGTAAATGAGGGTGTAGGGTGCGTCTCCAAACCGACCCCCTATTTTTATTTCAACTTCACATGAAAACAGCGCAAATATTTATTATGAACGAGGGTCTAAATACAGGTAGCCCTGGATTTGCGCCGGTTCAGAATAACGCCGATTTTGAAACCAGAAAGTCAAAAAGTGGGGAAAAATATATTTTACTATTATTTATAACGTCTTACAATGTTTCTCGTAATGCTTCTTATACTAAATCGTAATTCTTACATCGCTGATTTTGAATAAAAATTATAAATACGGTCATCTCTGCAATTACGTATGTTTCGTTAACGCGAATTTGCTCCAATGAGATCGATGAATTGGCAAAAGCTGTTTGTGAATTGCAAACTTTTGCATATGCGAGTTTGCTCTTGTGCTAGAGCGCAGAGGAGCGTTATGGCATCCATGAGGCCCTGTCGTGAAATTTTGAAAGAAAGAAGAAATCACGACAGTGCACACTAAATGTAATGCCATTATATTACCCGTCAATGTTTTGGTGCTGGGAACGCATGTCATTGACTTCCCATTGATTTACATTATAAATGTTGTATCTGTGGGTTTGACTGAAATATTTAAAAGAGATCAGCACAGCGAAGTCGAATATATGCTCCATCTGTCTGAACTTCGATCTCGTGTGGACTTTACACCGCACCAGTATATGCTTGTGTGCACTGCTCGGAAACATCTGACAGTCTCATTAAAACTTCTAATCCGTTAAATAAATCCCACAACGTATATTACACATTCATCCAATGATGAATAAAAACGAAGCACACGGCTAGCTTAGTATTCTGGGTTTTGTGATAAACGCAAATGCAAAGTTGTCTCCTAGTGCTAATAACTACGCCATGCAGCCAAATCTCTGCTCATTCTTAACCACAGTAGTAGGTTTATAACAGCAGGCAAGAAATTTCATGTATCAATTGGATCAGACGATAGATGGGACTCGAAACCGATCTGAACACAGTGGTGGAAAAGAAAAAAATACGTGAAGATGACTATCTTCTGGAACAGAACTACAGTATATAAGACACGCTGATATATTCCTTAAAGACGTTAATCACTTGGATTTGGGAAAACAACTAAGCGAAAAATATTTTTATTCAATGTAAGTTACTAAATCAGAATTTCAAATTATCAGAAAGCTTCCAAAATGTTCGGTTTTCATGCCCTTGGATCAAAATTCCATTTGAAAACATTTGCTCCAGGATAAAATCAATTCACTGATTCGTAGTCACTAAACGCGCGCTGCTGACGTAGTTGTGATTCAACTGAGTCCTCATCTGAAGCAAAGTTCTAGAACTGATAACGATTGCTTACACGGAACATGCATTGGGAGCTGCAGTTGGACTCGAAGTATCTGCTAGGAGCAAACTCTTTTGTGTTTTGAGAAGAAAAACTTGTAACATTCACTGGCCGAAAGGTAAGGAATTTGGTTCACATTATTTATAAATACATGGCATGTGACTAGTCTACATTTAAAAGAGAACAAAAAAAAGTAGACCTAACAGTCAGTTTCCAAAGTTTTGTCCATCAGATAGCAGACTGGATTTTATTAACATTCGTCGTGTCCGGATATTTCCAATATTTGGCCGTTTAGTTCAACAAACAACATGCAAAGTGCCAAGATTAAATATCACTTAACATTCCTTTGTGCAGGTTATACGTAAAGATGCCGCCCAGAACAATCCACCTGCTAATCTGCAACACGCTTATAGTGATACTGCTGACCACCGATGCGCTGTCCCCAACAGAACACAAACTTCCTCTCCCTCAAACAGAAGAAAATCTGACACTCGCTTTGTCAGATGCAGAAAATCTACTTGCTGAAAGCATTCTTTCAAACTCGGTAATAAAAATCGAGTACCGTGGGACACCCGACATTCCACTTAACGATATAAGTTTAGAAGTCGACGACATTGCACTGGTCCACCTTACAGAATTGAAGCTACGAGCTTCACCTTTACATCTGACGTCAGTGACACCAGAACTACGACTGATGAATCTAAATTTACAAGCAAATATAAGTTTGCTTGAAGTTACAGGAAATTACACTGTTTCTATAGAAATCATGAACCACACCGCTAGAGAGTTGATATCAGACAAGGGCAGTATTAATTTAACGTTTCAGAATGTGACACTATCAGGTCTTGTTGGTCTAAATTTGAACGAGAACCATCTACAAGTCCACACAGTGGATTTGCTCTACATACCGACCCTGGTTGTCTTAGTAATGCGCTACAGTGATGACGAAGGCTTTCCTCGCGTAGTTGAAGAACGTAGCAGTACTGTTCAGGGCAGAGTGGAAGAGCCTATATACGTGGACCTGGCAAAACGACTGAACATTCTCATACTTGAAGAGATCAACAGTATATTGAAAAACGTTACGGTCCCTGAACTCATGGGTAACAACTCTGAAACCGAGATAAGTTTTAAAACTAGCGCAAATAACCAAATTGAAAATTTAAATAATTTCGTAGACCACATTTTGAACGTTACGAAAGACAACATTTCAGATCGAATTTATATCCCTGATTACGTAAAATCATTTGAAAAGAAAATAGGTTTTATTCGAATTCGTGGAAGTTTCAAGGCTGAAGATGGATGGCTGAGGAATATGAAGACTCTAAATAGAACTGCTGACGTCACCCTGAAACAAGTGAACGGTAGCTTCGAAGTCAGCACGATCGTGAACTTCGGGACGCTGGACTTCGGATACGCGAGGTAGGACTTGTGATTAAACTACAACTAGTAAGAACTGATAACACGAATTACATGCACACTGCAACTTAATCTACGTGCAGTTTATTAGCATTTATAATATTTAAACACGGTCTGAAGGCATCAGTAGATGTACGATTCTAGGAAGGGCAAGAATTTTGTTTTCGCCACTGCGTCCAGACAGGTTCTGGGGCCCAGCCCCCCTATAAAATGGGTACTGGAGTTCTTTCCTCGCTGGTAAAAGGTTGGAGCATGTTGACCACTCAACTCCTTCCACTACCGAAGTGAAGTCTACATGAAGCTACACCTCTGTTCCCTTATAAATCTCTTCGGAGTACTGCATACTTAGGGTAGGAGACAAAAAAGATAATCAGCCATGTGTGTCTAGCCCTAACACGTTTAGAAAAAATACAAATTTTCATTAAACTTGGTTTGGATGTTATTCAGTACTTCATAATATCCTATTATTGTAATCATCATCATCGGTGTCAACATGGCACCTATGCAAAGTACTAGAAAGAGTGGCACTTAATAATGTTTCTTGAATTTTTGAGTTGTGGATCTTAAAACTATGTAACAATCTTTAAGATTTCTCCTAGAATACTAAGATGTCTTCAGGAACTCAAAATTTGTGATTACTTGTTTATTTGCGGTAAGTAGAATCATTGCTAGTAGAATAGTGACATTTTTGTGGCGACAGGTTATAGTTCTGTGTGAAACCAGGTTTGTACGTAAGATAAAATTCCAAAAATTACTACCTTACCTGGGAAATTTAACTTCTGGACAGTAACCTTAATTTATGTTAGCCTTAGTAAATGTATAAAGGATTTATGGCGAACCAGGTTAAGATGAATTGCTTCATTTTCAGATACTCCGCAAAACTGCTGCATGTGGTTCACTGAGGGCCACTGTCGGCAAAAACTCGATGTCCTTCCGAATCAGAGTGGACAATGAAGGTGGAAACTGTATGGTCAGCTTGAAAGAGCTAAGAGTGCGGGACATTAACGACGTACGACTAACACTCACTGGTCTTTCTCCATTCAACTGGGTTCTCTCAAAGGTGGCGACATCTGTCACCAACCGATCGAAACTCAACATAGCGAAGGCCATCGAGGAAACAGTTGGGAAAAAATTTCTCGACAAGCTGCAAGATTTTGATTGTGGGCAGTATTTTCCTGAACCTGCCGTACGAGATGCTGATGCTGGAGACAATGAAGTGTAAATGTGAGATTGCGACTTTATAACTCTGTTTTAAATTGAACAAAATGTTAGCCTCACGATCTGGAAGACAATGTCCTTTGGTTGAAATTTTACTTTATTTCAGGTACCGACCTCCTCCACAAGCTCCGCGTTGTATAGGAGCATAAAAGTGTAAAGCTGTGCCATGTAGGCACTTGGGGGGAGTAGTCATAGCTCTTACTCACTGATAACCTCGGCACTAGAAGGGTGTGAGTGGTCAGCGTCACGCCCCAGTCGGGCTTTACCCCTGGGAAAGGACCCCGGTACCCATTGGGTGAGCCCCAGAGCCGGTCTGGACGCAGAGGCTGGAGAATAAAAAACTTCCTCTGTCGGGGATCGAACCCCGGTCGTTCAGTCCGTAGTCAGTCACCGTACTGACTGTGCAATCCCGGATCCTCGGAAAGGAGCATAGCCCGCAAAAAAAACCCCAGCTTTTATGGAAACAAAGTTCATTACCGTGCTCACAAAATCCCGCTACTGAAATCCTTGCCAGAAAGAAATTAATCCAATACACACTCTCAAAACTATGTCGATTTAACAATAATTTTAATATTATTCTCCGAAAGAAGTCTTCACCTATTAAAGGTCTCTTCCCTTCGAGGTTTCCTGATCAAAATTCTGCTCGACTTTGCTCCGTCATCACATCCTCCTCGATCTAATAGCTTCAACCCTCCAGAACCTAGTGGTACCTATATGTAGCACACACTTTAACACTCAGAAATTCTACGTTTTGTCCACAAAGTCTATTTACCAGTTTCATACGATTCTCACTGGAAACAGCGATTATTTCTTGGCGTTAACCATATGGTCATTGTAACGGTAAAGTGTTGTTTTCTTTGCAGTACGAACTGAATTCTTAAATATTGACATTAGCTGTGACATGTGCAGTATAGGGCATGGCGTCTGTTTCTCTGCGTACGTTGTTCACCGATCAAGCACGCATAATAATGGCGAAATGAAGTCAGCATCACAGCAACATCTAGGCACAGGAATCTGAACTAAATCCTGCAGCGCACGCTTTCGACGGCCGAGTCCGTATTGCAAGCAACTGCAGAGGCTATTTTAAATTTCATGAGATCGTGTGTTGTAGATTGCAAAGGAAAACATTTCAAGTGGCATCCATCGGAAATGCCTGAGAAAAATCTTAACTCAGAGTGGCCCCTGGTCCGACCAAGGTTTGAAATAGATTTATGTATTGTTATTCAACTGATTGAATTCTGACGTGGCTAACTAAAAACATATTAACCAAATGACTAGTTGTTTAACAAATATTCACTTAATCGACTAACCAACTAAGAAAATCTAATCAACTCTGTCTAGTCAACTGAGTGACCATGTATCTAATCTAAAAACGTAAACCTAAGTTTTTTTTTAAAAATTTCCAACCAGAAAAATAAAACTGAAATTTTTTGTGTTCGACTCAGAAATCAATTTCCTTCGTTCTCTGAAACCTGCACCCATGCCAGGATCTATGCACCGGAAACTTAATTTCCTTGTTGAAAAGTTTCGGCTACAGAGAGCAGCACAACATGCCTCCGTTCTTCCTGCCATCTGGAGACCATATTACAAACTACGAGCAGAACGTTCTACCCCCACCGTTCAGAAGCTACGTATTATGTAACGAAGTATTGGGAAGCTGGTTGTCGCTCAGATGGTCAATACATTCCCGAATTTATGGAACCGAAGGTTTATTAACGTGTTCTTAACGTCCACTCCAGACAGAAATGCACGGTCACCTTCATGATGTAGTTATTTTACCATCGGTACCCACTCGTTAGGAGCAGGGTCACTCTCGATACGAAGGTGGCTAAGAGATAGTTGTCTGACCCTACCAGGGGCAGAACGTAGTTCGTCCAGCGAGTAGCCTAGACTGAAGTACAGGTAATATCGTCAATTTATAGTGACAATGCTGTGAAAATACTTGCGTAACAATTTTCTGTTATTTACTGGAAGAAGATCTAGACTCCAGACTCTTAACTCTACTGTTTACCTCTGAGGAGAAATCTCATCCTATCTCTGAATAAGGAATTTCTTAGGATGCTTATGTTCTGTCCCAGTGAAATGTCAAAGGCTACGAGTTCTTCGACACTTAGCGTGAGTTGACATCGTTGTTAAGCAGAGCATAAAAATAAGAGACAATGAACTTAATGCGTGCAGTTATTGCCTTGATATGGGGGATACAAACTTTGCTTTGTAATTTCACTTTTCAGAACGCGACAACTCTATTCACGTTTTGAAATCAGTCACGTGAAACATCGATAGATATTGCACGGCCAGTCCAGGTTTACGCAGATACGGCTGAGTTAGGCTGATTCCTGGTTTATGTAACAGCGTCGAATGGGAGGGTTAGTTTCAATAAGGAATTGGAAAGGACTCGGAAAGAAGTGACCGTAGAGTTTATACACACACAAGCTTGGAAAGTCTGAGGAAAACACGGATACTAAGGAACATTTCTACAATTCCAGAATTAGAACTCCCAAAGATGCAACTGTCAAGATCGTCTGATGCATTGGTCTATTTCATCTGCAGGTTTTAGCAGAGTAGTAAATAGACAAATATCATAGCCACATTTGCAGGAAGATTATGAATGCTAATTAGCTCAAATCTATATTTTGATACATAAAAAGCCAGATATAGGCTTAACGAGAAGGAGAAGATTAATATTCGGAGATGGGACTCTATCTCCGTCTTCAGGTTCCTACTCAGTTGGGCCCACTAGATAGAGCTAATCCCTATCTCCGGACCTTGAATAAAAAATTTCTTGGATATTATCCATCGTCTAGTAAATATGAAACGTAAAACGACGTTTCGGAGATAGGGATTAGCTCTATCTAGTGGGCCCAACTGTGTAGGAACCTGAAGACGGAGATAGAGTCCCATCTCCGAAACGTCGTTTTACGTTTTATATTTTATATTTTACTAGACGATGGATAATATCCAAGGAAATTTTTATTCGAATTAATACGGATTTTAAAGATATTGGATATGACGGTGTGAAATGGATTCATCTGGTCAGTAGGCTGGTTTGTGAACGCAATAATGCACCTATAAAACTCAAGGGAACTTCCTGAGCAGCTGAGCGACTACCAGCTCTTTCTAGAGCATCATGTACTCATTTATTGATCCGCGCGAATATAGCCTATATCGACCATTGTCTTTTTCTGATATCATTGAGCACTGACGTCATACCTTTGCCTGTCTTCTGCGATTTGTCGTAGGAAATATCGAAAAATCAAATGTTCTTATTTCTGACGACATAATTCCACGGATTTGAGGTTGTCATGGCTGTTCGTCATCGTCCTGATGATGAAGGCAGCAAGGACCTCTGAAACGTCGGTAAACATCTACCCGACTATACGGCGCAACAACTCAGAAGACAGCCATCTTTATAATTCCACGGGTTTCATGTTACGGAAAAGCGCGGAATGACTTGCCTCTAGACGAAGGCAATTGTTTTCTTGTAACGGTAATAAAACGAAGACCCAGAGACAGCCCTTTCGACGGCATTCTTTCCCTTTATGCTTACTCACTGAACCCTCCGTTATTTCTATGATTTCTTTCATTTCAACTTAACATTATAACATTACACAGAACTATAAGAGCTGTGAAGACTTCTGAGCTGTTTGTATTATATCCGCCCTGAAACTTATCTGAAATCAGTGGCGGAAACATAGCAGCAGTTACGGGTATTCTTAGCGAGGGAACTCTGCGTTTTATAGTTTTCTGAATCCTTATCGTGTCTGTCTGCCCGTCCGTCAGCATGACTTAACCCAAGAACCACTGGACGGATTTGAATGGTTCATTACCGTGTTCGTAATATCCCGGCAATGCACCTTATTCTGAACAAAATTAACCCTGTCCACATCTTTACATGTCATTTATGGCTCATTTTAATATTATCATCCCGATTACACCCGTCTCCCAAGTTGTCTCTTCTCTTCAGTTCTTAATTTTTGTGAAATGCGTATCTTTAGAAATTGGCTAAGTGTCACATAAACTAGGGGTAAGATGGGAATCTAATGAACAAAATTAGATTATTCCCCCCAAAACGTTTAGTGTAGACCCTCATTCCGTCAATAAGTAACTGCATCAGAATCAATCAAGCAGTTATGAAGATAGAAAAGACGCTTACACACACGACCTCCCAATTATGGGTTCATTTTACACACTTCTAACAACGACAGCATAGCGACATTAACGAGAATTACGTAGATTTTCAATGAAGGAGCGAGTGGTAGTCTATAATCGAAGCCCGCCACTGGATGTAAGCTGTCTGAAAGCCACACTTCAGCCACTACTCACATCAACAGACGATACTTCTCTTGTTGTTAATTACTCAAAACGCGCGTACACGCACGCTTCGTGACACAGCACAACTGTGCACGAAGAAAGGGTTTATTTTCTCAAGACAGAGAAGGCGAAGTCTTCCAGTTACCGTAATAAAGATAACAGACTCTGGAATAATAGAAATGTCAGTCCATTAGGGGAACAATGTAAATTTAAGGGCTTTAAAAAGACTCTGTTACACCTACCAAGAACAGTTCTCAGGAAATGGTATGCAAGAACATATTTCGTTCCTTCTCACACCATACTCTGCTGTCACGTAGACACACAGCCGCGTAAAGATAAAGAACCACGCTCTCCAGACCGCAGCATAGATGATGGCCAGTGGTCAGTTATGTTCGCCCAAGGAAGACAAGGCCGAAGGTATGGAGGGAAACGGTAATGGTGACATGAAGATATCCAGACACCAGACGAAACACTTAGCCTACTAACTAACTAACAAGATGGCTAACGGAATCCGAAGGTTCATCACCGAATTAACCAAAGCCCTCCACCGGACCCTGTCCTGGGCCAACAAAATCCAGTTTCCTTCGACTCCTATCTCCCATAGATCCCGCCTGACATTATCCTCCCACCTACATCTAGGTCTACCCATCTGTCTCTTCCCCTCAGGCTTCCCGACCAGTACCCGGTGAACACCTCTTGTCCCATACATGCGTGCTACATGCCCAGCCCATCTCATTCTTCTCGACTTAATCACCCTCACAATACTGGGGGAGGAGTACACATTTTTAAACTCGTCATTATGCAGTTTTCTCCACGCCCCATCGTCTTCTCTCCTAGGCCCAAATAACCTCCTCAACGTCCTATTCTCAAACACCTGCAATCTGTGTTCCTCCCTCTGAGTGAGAGACCATGTTTCGCACCCATACAAAACAAGAGACAAAATTATTGTTTTGTATACTTTAATTTTCAGGTTACTATTAGCCTACTGTCCACAAAAACGATTCACAAGTGGAAAGGAAGATTTTCTTCCTATTCAACTACTGTGGCCTCTTTAGCTGGTGTTTTACAGTACAACTGAATTCATGACGTATCAACTTTTATATTATTTTCTTTGGTAAGTTGTGCAGTGAACTGACGGTAATGGAGACAGACAGGCACTTGTTAAACAAAAACTATGCTTTTGCTAAACTTGTTGCCATGATCCAGCGTCTTCAAGCCTGGTCCACAGTACACGGTTTAAGAAGAGCTAGTCTGTATTAAGTGACAATGATTACATCTGTTGTAAAAAATAATTAAACTTGGAGAATAAGGAACTTTCAAATCTTGTGATTTTAGTCAAATACTTTCAGGACGATACACCAAGGAGACGTGAGATAGAAGTGAGGAATGTTTACAGAACTTTAGTCGGGAAACCAAAAGATGAGAGATCATTTGTGTGTTTGAGAGAGAGAGAGAGAGAGAGAGAGATAAATGGCATCATGAAGTAATGCAGCATCCAGCGCAAAGAAAGAATAAGTGAACAAACGAAGAAATGAATGGAATTAGCATGACTCACGCACGGGCTATTAGAATAGCAAAATATACTTTTGCTAAAGGAAGAAACACACACACACACAAAGATAAGGCTGCAGCCTGGACCAGAAACACTTCATCTCTGTTCACCATTAAACAGTCGTTTTATTTATAACATGTAAATCGAACCCATTCGTCGCTTGTACCTTCATTGTAATTCAGGACTGTCTTATATCACATTTTATGAACGCGTTTCCAGGAAATTTTCCTTCCGAACCATTCGCTAATCTGCATTCCGCACTGTCTGGTAACTGCGAGAAACATACGTTGATTGCATAGAAATTGATCTACTTCTTTGAGTACATGTGAGGAGACAAACCAGAACATTTGTAAATGCGCTTTTTCTAACTATCAATTCGTGGTGATAAATAAAGAACATAGTAAAGTTGCAATCTTCAGTACTCATCAATCAGGCCATGTGCCCCACCCCTTCCGCCTGGCGTAGACGCTAAAAAAATAATTTTGACGTCACAATGAATCGAAAGTGTTTCCAAACTTTTGTTCTGGAAACTAAAGCTGATAAACTGTTATATATTAATATATAACCTGTAAACA